CTCTTGCCACCTTATACTCCTGTCTGAGTATTAGGCAGCCGGCATCATGTCTTTTATTAAAACAGGCTATACACCTTATATTTCAGATACATTTTACAGTGTGGAGTAATCTAATTTTCTGACTGCTTTTGATTTTATGGTAAGCACGGTGTACTAGAAGATGAGCTATTGTTGCATTATTATGAATATATGTTGCCTTCTCCTTCCGTATGTTCTTGCACAAGAGTCTCATGCTGTTAGAGCGTTTAACAAAGAGTATCAAATAAGAAAGCTGGATAAAGTAGAAACTAAAGGCAACTAAAAATGCGTTTGCTGCATAAAGTGAGAAGTGTGCCTAGCCAGAATGCAGAAGCATGCTTTCCACCTTAATCAGTTTCATGGAAAGTAAAATGAAGCTTTTTGGTGGAAATGTCACTTGTCCAGGACAAGGATGAATAAACCAAAGAGATAGCAGAGTCAGACTGTTTTAACCCTGAATTTGCTAATATTAGACCAGTTGGTTCTTTCTCAAACACGGTGTTAGACCTCTGCCTATCACCTGGACCCTGGAGTAACTTCAAGGCAACGCAGCCCGCTGCTTGCAAATGGGAAATAGGAAAGTCGTCGTGTGTACTGAAAACAATGCAGACATTTGAACTTGCAGCTTTTATGACCTTTTACAGACTTCTTAGGGAACACAAATCTGCTGTCGGCTTGGTTTGGGCCTGATCAGGACTGGAATTCGGGGGGTGGGGACAGGGAAGGAAAAATGCAATTATACCTCTTGATTTGATGTTAAACCAGTGACATTTTAAAGGCATCCGGGCTGGCAGCTGCCAGCCTGTTGTTATGAGCTACTCTGAGGCAGAAGCTCCACAGTGAAGGTCATGGTGCTGGAAGCAGAGATGTGAACATTTTAGCATCTCTGTCTTTTGCTTTTTTTTGTTTGTTTGTTTACATCCAAGATTTGCTTCCGCCTCGCACCTATTTTCTAAAGATAATACAGTTTTCAGAAGCCAGTCAGCATGCCAGCAGCATGTTCAGGCTCCTGGGGAGGCACCCCGAGCCCCAGAGTTTGCCCGAACGCTGCCTGTGAGCTGCGAGCGGCAGCACCGCCTGCTCGAGGGCCAAGACGGCCCTCCACATTCACAGGAGCCATTTGCAAAAGCATTTGCTTGCTATCAGTAGAAGCAAAACTGGCCCCCGTGACTATGAAAACATGTCAGTCTCATGAGAAAAATGAGGAGAAAAAAAACCCTGACAAAAATCTAAGAATAGAGTGCTGAGGAGGACTTATTTCTGCCAGAGGATTTAGGGCAGAGACAAACGTTGCTTGAATATGGTAAGAATACTGCGTCACATCAAGTATGTTATGGCACTCTTACACCAACTCAGAGTAAATGTCTCATCACCTATGCTTTGTGTGTGTAAAACTGGACATTTTTGCAGCTTTCTCCTTTTCAAAGGTGACCTGCACTGTTTTAATTTCTGAATGGTTTAACTCCAAACAGCAGGGTATGAATTAAAGGCTCCTCAAGCAGCCATTAGAAAGTATTTTGGTTATTCAAATAATGGAGTTGCTAGTCATTTAAAAAAATTACAGGGAGAAATGTTCTAAAATGTCATCAGCTACACAGTGCTGGAATCGCTTATGGGATTTCATGAGTTGCTATAAAACATGGTCCAGCAACAGCAAAAGCAGTCTGCCATTACCAGTCCCGTAAGCCTCAATGTCTCCTTAAAGCACCAGATACTCAGCCACTGTTAATCACCGTCACCTCCTGAGGCCAGCGGTGCTCCTGCATTTCATCTCAAAGGAGGATTTGGGCTAACAGTGGAATGTGAGAATGGGACTAAGAGATGACAAAGACGATTGTCCTTTCAGGAGGAATTCTGCTGGTTTCATCCAATGGTCCCCTCAGACTCCTTCTGGCTTCCCTGGAAAGGTGCTCAGGAGCCAGGAAGGGGACTTCAGAGCTTCTCCCTGCGACCATCTCCTCAGGGATGGTTTAAGGATGAAGTCATGGAATCACAGGGATAAAGTGACGAAAGGTCGTGTTGCCAGAACAAATGCTGCTGTGTTTTGGCTTATCCTACAGCAAAGAGAATCTTCTCTACTAAGATCTCATTCGGAAGGGCAAAGCTGTGGAAATGCCACAGGATTTCTCCATAAAAACAACCAATTTCAGTTCGCTTAGGTGTAAAATACTGTTACCTATCCGCCATGCAGCTTAATGTATTATCTGAGTGACAGTTACAGCAAAAAAGTATGGTCATCAACAAAACACAGCCATTATTTTAAGCACCTGAATAGTCTCCCTGATTTTACTGAGGATCAGGGTGGTGTGGATGATGCTGCAGGATCAGCAACTACAAAGGCAGCTTCTCCCTGTGATATTCCTGCCGTCCATCACCTGTTTGGGGCAGGAGTGCAGGCAGGCGATAGCTTCTGCGCTGTAAAAGTCCCTTTTGCTGGCAAGATTGAATCAATAAATGGCTTCAAATGTTGTTATGATCCTAAGAGCAAAGTGATTTGCACAGAATACTTGCTAGTCAGTGTAGAGCACAGTGGTGCCCCATTATAATTTTAGTAGAAGAGGAGAACATAAAGAGAGTCTTGTTATTACTCTGACTGAAGATTGTGAAAAACACGCTTGTGATCCTAATTCCTTACTTTAATTGAATACAAAGATATCAGCACTTCAGTGTTCAGCTGCTACATATAAAATCAAATTTGGTGGGTAGTAAATACAGTAGAATTGAAGGTTTAATGTTATAAATCGAAGGACACATTCAAGATAAAATTGTCCTCACTTCAGCAACACTATTACTAAAATAACAACCTTAGATTTATTAAAATAGAACTAAGTTTAAATGCATTTGCCTTTCCTTTTCATTTTTATTACTTATTTTTTATATCTAAGAAACAAAACTCACTTAACATGCACTGGGTATTTTTACATTCCAAGCCTTATAAATTTCCACGATGCTGCAATTTCAGATGTTTTTAAACATCAATTTTAATAAAAACTTAAGTAAAAGTTTTTAAAATATGACTGGTCACTAGTAATTTGATATAAAGATTACTTCTGCTTTGATCTGTATCCATTAGGAGTTTTTCTAATCAATCCTGCTGTGGAGGGCACAAAGTCCTGGAATTGCCTTGCTAGCAGAGGACTGAGCTTAACCTGTTCTTGGGATTTGACTGAAAGGCTTCTGCTGCGGCGCAGAGCGGTGGCTGGATTTACTTCCTCAGGTACGTCTGCCGTGATTGCCTTTCCCTGCCTTCGTGTGGCCTGGTAGGTGAGGCACGACATGCGGACTCTGGCAAGGTGGTGATAAAACTCACTGCAGTGCTCCATGGCTTAAGGCCATATGTGCAATGAAATAACGATGCTTGCTTACTGCACGAAGCACACTGAGCTTTTGGGTGGAAAAGCAAAGTGTAAGTGATTATTAGACTATTTGATTAAACGGTGTTTAATAGTTATTACAATAAAAGCTTTTATGATTGGCGGGGGCTGACTCCACGTGCCTGGGGAGCTGGGCTCTGCCTGCTGGCAGGATTCAGGCTGGCAGGATTTAGGCTCCCAGTAAAGACTACAGAGAAAGGCAAGGATTTGCTCTTCAGGCAAGTTGTCGTCGACCTGCCAGAGGACTGTCGCAGGACTTAAATCATGATATGATGAGTAGGAATGCCTGAAAATGCTCTGAAGAAAAAATTTTCCAACAGGAAATGTTGATTTGATGCAGTTTCAGTATTCTTCAGGATCGTGTGAATTTTACTGAAACTTCCTGGTGGAAACCATGCAGGGGGGTTCCTAGCAGGGAGCCAGCAGCCGGCAGGGCCCAACCGCTTAAGCCTTCAGCAGTCTGTCTGGCCAGATGGGGAATTAGCTGGGAAGCTCGATGCTAGCACCCATTTAAAAATTGGTCTGATGTAGTTATTCAAAAAGTGAATGTTTCTACATAATTCGTTGCACAGAAATTTTCATGCACACAGCTTTGCATTCTGGTGCAGAATGAAACCATTAAAAATATCAAGGAAATTTTCTGTGGATCATAAAGTACACTTCCCATGCCATCCCAGTGATTAAATGAAGTTGTGGCTGAACAAAATGGTGACTTTTAATGGAATTTCAGAAGAAAAAAAAAGTGAAGATTTTAGAAAGGCACCTCAAATTTATTAAAATACAGCTCCCTCACATTGCTTACTGCAAAAATCAAACTCTGCTTGTGACTGTAACTCACTGTAATGACTTCACTGACCTGACTTTTGAGCGCTTCTGTTTTTTAATTGGGACATTTGCCTGAAAAACAGCTGATCCACAGAAACATTTTCTTTTTATGATACTGTATTCTAAATCGCTAGTGGGTTTTGTTTTTTTTTTTTTTTCCCCCTTAATGTATTTTAACAAGTAATAAACATAGTGAGTTTGGAAGCCTGACAGCAACTGAGCAATCAGCTCTGGGCACGCACCCCGAGAGCGGCCCCAGACTTGGCTCAGGACGCCGGCAGAGCGGCTTGCTGCTCTTCGGTCAAGCACCTCGCAGCGACGGCGGGAGCGAGCCTGGGCTCTGGAGAGGC